GGCAATTTCTAACGACAGCAGAAGACCACCGCATGCAAAAATACAAATTGAATTTCTTTTGAACAAAATGCATGCAACTCCCGATACACTCCGAGTACTAATAAACCCTAATAAACCCTAATAAACCCTAATCAACCCTAATCAAACCCTAATTAAACCCTCTTAAACCCTAATAGATAATAATAAACAATAATAAACCCTAATAAACCCTAATAAACCCTAATACATTTTTTTAAACAATAATAATAAACCCTGATAAATCCTAATGAACAACAATAAACCCTCATAAACCCTTGTAAACCCGTTTAAACCCTTATAAACCCCTGTAAACCCTAATATACCCTCATAAACCCTTTCATTCCCTCTAAACCCTTATTAATCCGCACCACTAAAGTCTAATAAACCCTATTGCGTACGTTCGTTCTGCTGCTGATCCTGCTGCTGCTTTTGCTGCTGCTTCTGCTGCTGTTGCTGTTGCTGCTGCTGCTGCTGCTGTGCACATCAGGAGCTGCAAGAGCTGCTAGAGGAGTACTGCAGCAGACGGCAAGGAGAATGGCTGCGAGAAACACCGCCAACTGTTTCACTTCGAGAAGAAACTGCAGAAGGAGATACACTCAAGGTAAATCCTAAACCCTAAACCCTAAACCCTAAACCCTAAACCCTAAACCCTTGGATCGAAATCCCGTCTTCTTTAGACGTTTCCTATTGCAGCTTCCGGCTTTTGTGAGAATAACGAAGTAACTATAGGCTAGCCAGCTAGCTAGCTAGCTTATAGCTAGTTAGGTGGATAGCTATCTTATATCTAGTCAGGTGATAGCTAACTAGCTAGCTAGCTAGCGTGTTAGAGGGGTAGCTTATAGCTATATAACTTATAGCTAGCTGGCTAGCTAGCTAACTTATAGCTAGTTGGCTAGCTAGCTGACCAAGTAGATCTAAGATAGCTAACTGCTTTCCAGATAGCTAACCATCTAGCTAGCTACCTACCTATTTACCTACCTACCTTATCGCTAGCTAACTACTAGCTAGCTAACTTATAGCTAGCTAACCTACAGCTAGCTAGCTAGCTAGCTAGCTAGCTGATATGCGATTTGTTTTTAATGAAATGTTTGCCGCAGATTGTCGTTCAACTGACTCACCGCAAAAGCCACGACCACCCCGGCTGTATACGCGCCTCCACCAACGCTTTGCGCTTGTAAACCCTAAACCCTAAACCCTAAACCCTAAACCCTAAACCCTAAACCCTAAACCCTAAACCCTAAGCGGCAGGTCTACAGCCTTAAACCCGGAATCGTAATGCTTACTTACGTCTACACCCTAAACCCTAAACCCTACACCCTTCATTTTGGGGGGCGAATCAATCCTGTCTGGCACTCTTTAACTCTAGGGTCTAGGGTTTAGGGTTTAGGGTTTAGGGTTTAGGGTTTAGGGTTTATTTATTTTTACAGGGCCCTAACAAGACACTCAAAAGAACTCGAAGCGCCACCCTCCCGCCTCAGAAGGCAAAGTACCTACTGACGCTTGGGGCTGCAATGCATGCAACAGTGCATGCATGCAACAATGCATGCAACACTGCATGCAACAATGCGCGCATGCATGCACGCATGCATGCACGCATGCATGCAACAATTCATACAACAGTCCATGCATGCAACATTGCATGCATGCAACAATGCATGCATGCAACAATGCATGCAACAATGCACGCATGCATGCAAAAATGCATGCATGCAACATTGCATGCAACAATGCATGCATTCAACAGTGCATGCACTGTTGCATGCATGCATTGTGTGTTTGTTGCATGCGATGTTCTCCAACTGTTGGAGGCTCCCAGCCCCGCATCCATGCAAACATGCATCTATATATATATATATATATATATATATTTATATATATATATTTATTTATATATATATGTATATATTTATACCTCGCTTTGTCTTTATATATATGTTGATCTATTAACGCATTGATTTTTATAAATACATTTGAATATATGTATATCTATGTATATATAAAATATAATATGTATGTATGTATGTAAAGTATATACGTATATACATAATATATACATATATATATGTATATATATA